TGTGACGAACCGCAGCACGCATTTGATTCAGACCGCCATTACAGGACACCTGTAAGAATCCATTGCTTGTATAATTTCCTGCAAAAAGAAAAAAAAATCATTACTTTTCTTAAACCCTCAAGCTCCAAATCAAACCCAAATCACCAAAAGACACATAGAAGACAAAAACTGACTTCGTGGAAGAAGAGATCGTGGCGGCGATTGAATTGGTTCGACCGGGAGAGAAAATCGAGAAATCTGATTGGTTAAACCTGTGAAGATCTTGGAATGCCAAAGCTCACCGACTACGAAGAGCTGAATCAAGCAAGTCCAAATCAAAATACACAAACAGACTCTAAAGAACCAAATTTGTAATCGGGTTTTGGGAATTGGACTCGGAGACTTGTCATCGCTCCTCGTCTGAGTGTCCTCCGATCTAATTTCCATCTATCTAATTTCCATCTATCTCCGACGACTCTCATCGCCGCTTCATCGGAGAACAAAAAACAAAAATCCAAACTTTGAAGTAAATTTGGTCCTCGAGTGTTTGAATTTTCTGGGGAATTTTCTCGGAAATTACAGAGAGATGAGCGAAGGATTCACGAAAGGGGAAAACGGTGGGAAAATGAATGCAGAAAGCAAATGCTGACAAAAAAAACAGATACGACTGTACAAAGTTTTTTTCTTTCTTGTTTCTTTTTCCCGTGAGAAAATTGAAAATTTCCCGAGAAAAGTACCAACTTGGAAGAAGATTTTCAAAATCGTAAAGAGGGTATCTTTCAAAATTGAAGATCCAAACAGATGGATCTCATCAGTTTCTCTCACTTCCGCTCTCTCTCGTCTCAATCATTTCTGCAGCTAAATTTTAATTTTTTAAAGGTTGATCATTAACTTCAATGTAATTTATTTAACTAATCGAGTGTAAAACAACACAACAGATCACTTAAGTTTCAATTTAATATATAACTTTGTTGAGAGTGTGATGAGGACGGGGACGCTATTTTAGGCCACGTCCCCATAGAGGGATGTTTCGGAGACGAGGACATGCCGGAAACGGCTTGAGGGTGTATCATGTTAACCGTGGACGCCAATCAATTTGGAGATGTTTCAGAAACTTTTTAAGACTAAAAATAGGTGTTA